TCATCAGCTTTATCATTACCTGTGATTCCTGAATGCCCTGGCACCCAGTACAAAGTTAATTTGTTCCTGTTTGCAAGTTCATTCAGTTCTTCATGTCATTCCCAGACCAGTTTTGATGTCACCTTCGGGTTTGTCAGAGATCCTAGTGCGCTCTTGCTGTCTAGGTTGACACAGTGATACTGTGAAAATCCTGGATATTGAACTAGACAAAAATAAAGTTCAAAACACATTGCGAATCATTAATATCTAACCTTAATTTATTCTATTACTTGATCTGTAATCTGAAGACTATTCTAACTCATGAACAGTTAATGAACGTTTAACATGCACAGGTGGAATCCCATTTGAGATATGGGATTCACCTTTGGGGCAACCCTATACATTCTAGGAACACATTCATTGCACAAAGAAGAATCGTAAGGTGCTTAGCAGGAAAATCTCTCTTGAAGAGATCACGGTGGATGGCACATTAAACGTTTCTGGTGAACCAGACAACGGATCACTTTGAAAATTTAATGGAGGGCATATTCGGACATTCTCTAGCCAATACTTTTTGCTATAAGGAAACAGATTATAATTATTCCACTTTCTTTTTATAATAACCTATTTATGTTTTTTGAACATTTGTTGAGGTTTGACGACTTATTCAATTACTTTTTCGTTTTCAGATAGCTGATGAAGTTCTTCTCAAAGGCCGGGCACTCAATCCACTAGTTAAAATTAAAGTGGATACTGATTCTCCGGCATCAAAGGACCAGAGCTTTTTCAAGAAGTTCACTATCATTATAGCCACGGGAATAAAAACTGATCTCTTATTGAAAATTGACAAAATTTGCAGGGCAAATAACGTTAAATTGATTTTTGGGGACGTTTTTGGATTTTTTGGTTATAGTGTAGCTGACTTTCAAGAACACAATTATTTTGAGTAAGCGGTTTCTTCGTTTCTAATATTTTTTATTTAGTTGAAATATTTGTTTTGTTAGAGATCAAGTACAACTTACTGGTAAAGGTAAAAAAAGAAAACACGATGGAGAGGAAAAAACTACAGTCAAAGTACAAGGTACCATTAATTATCCAGAACTGAAGAAGGTTATCATATTACCGAATACAAAACAGAACGCAGACTGCATTAAAAAGACAAAGAGGAGAAATGATTTATTTTTCCTTATGTTGAGTAAGCATTTTTCTGTATAATTCACACTTTGTTGATAAAATGATATTTTTTTTGATAAAGACTGGGAACTAATCTTTAAAAATGTCATATCTCTCAAATGGAAAAAAAGTTCCTGAAACAATTTCATTTAAAATTACTATATCCCCAACTTTTTGTCTTTGAATTATATTTCACACTTCATTATTTGTTTTTTTTTTCAGCTCTGATAGAGTTTAGAAACAAACACAACCGGCACCCTTTAGTATCCTCAAAGGTTGAAGACATAAAATCCCTGCAGGCTATAAGGAAAGATGTGTTTGAGCTCTATCAAGTGGACCAATCAAAATCTAGCCTTTTTGATGACCTTTTTGAAATAATATTCGATGAGGTTGTGCCTGTTTGTGCTATTCTTGGAGGAGTCATTGCTCAAGAGGCCATTAAAGCTGTTTCCCACAAGGAGGTGCCTATAAATAATGTATTTCTTTTTGATCCTATTTCTTATGATGGCAAAGAAGAAACTATAGGTGCTTGATTGAAAGAACATTCTAATTTTTTTAAACGAGTTACTAGTTTTTTTATAAATGAATTAGAGATAAGAAAATAACTCCAGTGAACCTATTATACTGTGGAGAACAACTTCCTTGTACTTATTCTCTCATCATAAAATTTCTTTTTGCAAAGATTATGCTCCTGATCAGTTGGTTTTAATTCAGTGAGTTTTAGATTTTTGAGTGAATTGGTGTCTCAATAAAGTATTTCGAATAATTCTTGTTTTTTTGTAAGTANGGAAAAAATCCAGTAATATTTATTTAAAAGTTCACTGAAAACTTTTATCATTCGTTATAGAAAATAAATTGTATGCAGTTCATTAATAAAATGCCTTCTAAATGTGAAATTAAAAATGTATTTTTAACATGAAAAAAATCTCAAAGTGAGTCTTAAAAGCAAGATTTTGAAATTTCAGAATAGCCGTATTTTCGAAGTTTGAAGTTTCCGCCAAACTTGCAAAAATATGTAAATAACAGCAAAATAAATATAAAAATTTAGCGCCAGTTGAAATCCCTATCTCTGATGATTACCACTAAATACTTCTCTTTTCATCATACTATTACCTTCAGATGCGGTCTCTAGTTTCCTTTTGTCCTCTTCTTCCATTGTATCGTCTCCAATGTTGTTTGAAGTTACCTGCGGGGAAACGTCGTCATGTTCGGGCATGTATTCCCCTGTCACCATTTGTGGAACAACTTTTTTCTCCGCGAAAAATTCAGAGTCCTCTTCGACATCTTTGTTTTCATCTTCTGGATGGTATATAATGGAGTCGACACCCTCGCTAAGTTTCCTGTCAGGTTCACTTTCTTCCGGACCTTGTTCTTTATCTTCACCATCGTCTGGATCTTGCTCTTTATGTTCACCTTGTTCGAGAAGTTCAGGTTTCGTTTCTTCGGATTTCATGTCTTCAGATTCCTCCATTCTGCTTGAATGTTGAATATTTGACAATTCGACACTGTTTCTATAGGAATGTAATTTTTAACTGAACTGTACAAAGTGTTCTATAGTTGAGAAAAATGAAGTAATATTCACATGAAATTATTGGTAAGTTGAAAATTCCTATGGATGGTGAAGAGCAGCTTAAGACCGACCCCTGAGGAACTCCATATGCATTATAAATTTAAGTAATTCCTCAATTTAATTCAACACCTGAAAATTATTATGAAAATTTCGTTTCATGTATACACACAAGCAGTTTAGCGTGTATTAAGAAACAATCTAAGTACCGGTAATCAAAATTTATTAATAACCTTTTCGAAAACGATGAATCATGAAATAGTAGCTTTTATGGAAATGCAGAAATATATTATGCTGAGACTGAGTCTCCAACAGTCTTCAACCATGGATTTGCCTTTCGTACCAAAGAAAATTTGTTTAATGTCAGGATCACCACCACTGATGTCCGTCTGATATAGTTTGAGAAATAGTATTTTTTTTCACATTTCTTTGCAAATAGTTCTTATACTAAATTTTCACATAATGTACATTTCTGTATGAAACTTTTTGTTATCCGTTATTTGATTCTCAATCAGTTATATATACTAAGTAAAACAGAAAGGTAAACACCCATTTATATTGAAAATATTTCAATATTGTTTTGCATATGTATTTATGTTGAGGCCACTAAAAAGCCTGTAAAATTTCAGCCGTATCTGAAGCTATTCTGGCCAGTTTTTTATCTNTGGGGTGCCATTGCATATGGTAGCAGGACACCTTTAGTCTTTATTAGAGGCAACATGAGAGCTCTTCGTTACATTCAGGAAGTAGTGGAGCCACATGTCCTTCCAAATCTTGAGACCATCGGTAACCCCATATTTCAACAAGACAACGCTAGACCGCATGTGGTTAGAGTAACTCTAGACTTCATGGATAAATATCAACTAACTGACCAAATAAAATTCAGCTGGTTAGTAATTATATTTCATGTTTTTATAAATAGTACATGTTGCAAAGGGGAACCTCTTTGATCAAATCGAGCATTTTGTAGGACAAATTACGTTCTTATTACCCAAGTTAGCTACCACTTATGAATTTTTTGTACTGGCAAATACTGGGCGTCTCGTCAAAATGAAGCTAGTCACGGAAAATCAGCTTGTTAGTAATAAATAACGAAAAAGGGCGAGGGATCCCGGACTATAGTGGATTAATTCTCTTCAGCATAAAAGTGGCTGCTCGGGTTTCAATGAAGTCGACGAAGACCGTTTTTGCCTGGTCCTGATTATCGCAGTGCTTGAAAAGATGGTAGTCGGTTAGCGAGAGGTCTGGGGAGTATGGTGGTAAAACAGAACGTCGACGCTAAATTCGTTTATTTTTGGACGATGATTTGTGAAACGTGCGAAGGGCATTGTCGTGGATCGGGATCGTACCTCTTCTGTTGACAAGTGAGGGCTGCTGCTGACGCAGCTACTGGTACATTTTGTCGATTTTTCTCACGATAGGACTCTGCTGTGATGGATTTTGTCCGGTGGCAGAAGTCAATGTAGGAGTCCCACAAGGCTCTATTTTAGGCCCTATATTATTTCTTCTCTACATTAAGGAAATCGGTACAGTATCTCCTAGGATACAATTTACATTATATGCTGATGATATATCACTGTTTATTTCTAACAAATCCAACAACATCTCACATCATAATCAGAAATAATTATTATTTTGAAAATCACGAACTTTCAGAAGTTAAAGACTTGGGAATAGAAAAAACCGTCAATGGAATGGTATTATTGGATTCCTCAAAAGAAACTTTCAAAATTTCAGAACGGCAAAACCTCTCCTCAATTTATATTTTGCATATGTACATAGTAGGCTCTGCTTTGATCGGTTGTTTGGAATCCTCAGTACCACATAAACATAGATCGTATTGAGAGAGTCCAAAACAAATTTTTTCGCTACATTAGTCACAAATCAAATTTTCCAATTACGAATAGCGATTACAGTTCCATTATGCGCCAATACAATATTATGCCTATGAAGGATAGAAGAACTGTTACGGATCTTATTATGATTTTCAAGTTGATGAAAGGATTAGTCCACTGTCCAGAGCTTTATTCCAAAATCGAGTTCAATGTTCAGAGTAGAACGTTGAGGCGTACAGAATTCTTTAAGTTAACTTGCACAAGGACAAATGCTGCTCAAAATTCACCACTTTATAGAATGCTTAA